TTTTGGATTTATCTTAAAAATGTGAAATAAATTTGGGCCTGTTGTAACTACACTTGTGTAATGAAGGGGTTTTGTCAAATTTTCCCTAAATAAAATTCCTCCTTATACACGAGTAACAAACAATTAGTGAAAAAAAATGGAAATTCCAAATTGTGTTGATTTGACTTCAAAAAAATACAAATAAAAATAAATAAATTGTGATGATTCTGATCCGTAAATTATCAAGAATTACAACTTACGGAACATAGGAATATTTTTCGAAAGTGAAAAACTAATTTCAGTTCCATTCTGAAAAAAAAACCAACTATATTATTATTATTATTATTGTTGTTATTATTGTTGTTGTTGTTGTTGTTGTTGTTGTTGTAGTTGTTGTTGTTGTTGTTGTAGTTGTTGTTGTTGTTGCTGTTGTTGTTGTTGTTGTTGTTGTTATTATTATTATTATTAGGGGAAATATGCAATACACCCCTTATTTAGAAAATATTTTGAACTAAACCCAATTAACTTTAAAGACTTTTCCCATAACCCATATCCCAATCTAAATTAGTGAGACCCTCCTTACCAACCATGATAAGACTAAAATGCCCATATGTGTTAGTTTTTTAACCTAATACAATTTTATTTCTCTCTCTTTCATTCTCTCGCTCTTTCTCTCCGTTCTCGTTCTTTTTTTTTCTTTTTTTTTCCTTTTCCTTCTTCAGTTCTCGCTCTCTCTCTATTTCATTCTCTCGTTCTTTCTCTCTGTTCACAGTTCTTTTTTTTCTTTTTTCTTTTTTCCTTCTTCTTCAGATCTGTAAATCGCCGTCGCCGGCCGAAACCCGTTGCAGGAGGCCCTCCTCCGCTGATATTGGAGATCGTTTCCCCTTCGTCGAACACCACCATATCGACGCCTGGTACAGCTGGCGGCGGCGCCTCCCCACCTTGTCGTCGCCTCCGTCGGATTTCTACATGGAGATTTCCCTTCTCTCGACGATGAATACCAATATATACTATATTAATTGGTAAATTTTATTTTTTTTATTTTTCTCGAATTAATTGTCGAACTAGCAATAGAATATGTTATGGATCTGATTTTCAGTTCTATTATTTGTTTGTTATGAACGCATACATTGATTTTCAATTATTCTGGATTTCATTAAATTTTGTGTTATTCTGAATGTTTAGATCTGGACAACTCATTGAATTACGAGATTAGTCGGTTGTAGTGCAATGTATTTTACAGAGTAGTCATATTTGACAGAGTAGTCATGTTAACAACTTAGTTACATTTGTCCTTTTTT